CTAAACCCTAAACCCTAACAGGAACCTCGACTTTCAACAGCAGGGGCGGCCTGGCTTGCTGCACGCGGGCAACTCAGCGGCAGAGGCCTCCCGGCGAGGCTGCTGGAGTTTTGACTTGCACGTGTTTGAAGCTGGAACTTCGATGTTGAGCTTGGGCTGAAACCGGACAGTAGCGAAAATCAGGGACGACACGCAACAAAAACAAAGCAAAAACCGAACCTCTCAATCCTCACCTTCGGTGTATTCGGTTGCTGGAGGCTTCCGCGGACTCGGGCACTCCTATTTTGAGAAGCCCTATCAAGCCCTACTCAAAAACCGAGTAGTATCCCTAAACATTAAAGGCTAAATCCCCAATGCTCAAGCGCCTTGAAAGCACCTTTTACCAAAAAACCCTAAACCCTAAACCGCTAAACCCCTCAGCCCCTAAACACCAACCTCTACGCCCCAAACCCCTACAGAAACCCAAAAAAACGAACGAGGAAGCCTCCGACCAGGTCCGAATCGCCGCAGGCCGAGGGCAGAAGAGTTGCTCCTACATGAGTTGAAGGCAAAGGCTCTCTTAAAAGGGGTCTATAAAAGAGGTCTATCATAGGCTCTATCGTAGGTTCTATAATGAGTTCTATGACGGGTCCTGAAATAGTTTCTGTAAGAAGGCTTTAGGGTTGAAGGCTCTCAGAAAGTGCTGTATTAGCAGAGTTTAGGATTTAGGGCTTAGGGTTTAGGGTTTAGGGTCTAGGGTTTACGGTCTAGGGTTTAGGGCTTAGGGGTTCTATGATGGGGATCCTATGAAAGGAGGCTTAGAAGGGGCTCCACAAGGGGCTTAGAATTTTCGGGCTGAGGGCTTCAGCTCCCGGACGCAGAGCTTTGAGCGCAAGGTCTTAGAGGCCTAGGGTTCAGGGTTAAGGGTTTAGGGTTTAGGTTCAGGCTTCAGGGTTTAGGTTCTGGCTTTAGGGTTCAGGGTTAAGGGTTTAGGGTTAAGGGTTTAGGGTTTAGGTTCAGGCTTTAGGGTTCAGGGTTAAGGGTTTAGGGTTCAAGGGTGTAGGGGTTTAGGGTTCAAGGTTTAGGGTTCTTGGTCTAGGGTTTAGGGTTCAGGGGTTTAGGGGTTTAGGGTTCAATGTTCAGGGTTCAGGGTTTAGGCTTTAGGGTCTACTTGTTGCAGGTAAAGGTTACGGGCTGAGGGTGTGGGACTTTCGGGCTTTCAGATGCAGGGGCTAGGGCTTGAGATCTATGGCTTAGGCTCTGGGGGGTTCTGGCTTCTTGGGGGTTGAAGCTTGTGAATCAAATCTTGTTGGAACAGGGCCTGACAGTAATGAAGGACGGTTTAGGGTTTCAAACTGGAATCCCCTCCTTAAGTAAAGAATGCACGGAGATCGCGACAATGAACATGACATTGCACCCTAACCCCTCAAACACTATCCCTGAAAAAACCCAACCGCAAACAGCAGGATCCGAAACCCGACGTCCAGCCAAAGTAGGCGTCAAACCGTGCTCTCAATACCGGAACACCACGAACCCTCAAGTCCCAAAATTGGAGCTTCAGAAGTTGAGGGGTTTGTTTGCAGGTGTCCTGATAATATCACCAAAAACCTTTCCAGCGAATCACAGCCGGCATCGCAAGAAATCCCCTAAACACTAAACCCTAAACCCTCAACCTTAACCGTCTCCGTAGACCCCGGAACCTTCAATGTGCTCAAAAAAACGCTCAACCCCTGTAAATGCGAGACTGCTCAAACCGCAGGACACAGCCATTTACACGAAACAACACAGGGCCAAACCCAGTACTCCGACAGCCTAAACCATAAACCCTAAACCCTAAACCCTGAACCCTGAACCCTAAATCCTAAACCCTAACCTAAAGGTCTCAGGGTTTGGGGTTCAGTGGATTTGGGTCTAGGGTTCGTCGACTCCGAGTTTAGGTTGACAATCTGAAGAGCGCTCCGGCCAGGTGTTGCTGCACAGCGCACAGCGGAGAGTGCCCTGGCTTGGAGTTTCGGGTTTTAGGGTTTAGGGTTTAGGGGTTTCCTCAACGCCCAGAGTCTCAGGCGTAAGCTTATGAATGGACACAGCCTTCAAACTTTCGACCATGAAACTCTGCTGAAAACCCCAAACCCTACACTCTTAAACCCCAAACCTTCAAACTATCGGTACGGACAATAAGACGGCGATCTGGGCTTCCAGAGTCGATGAGCTGCCCCACCTCCACATCCTCGTCGAGGCCGGCGGACCCTGACGAAACAAAGCTGAACATTGCATAGTTATTGGGTTTCAAGCTTTGCGATACAGTGTTCAGCATGTGGGATACGGATACATGCTTTGGGCTGTATGCTCTGCCCCTGCACATCTCTGACCGAAGTACGTTGCATGCCGGCTGCATCTGTGCGGTCGGGGTCCTCATTCAACACGCGGGATGCGGCTTCAACGGACTTTGGACGTCACACACGATGCCTAAAATCCGGACTTTTATTACTTTCAGAAAAGTGCGCTTTAAGAGCCGTAGTTTGAAAGCCTCCTCTGATGATTACTGACGAAAAAGGCCAGACTGCAAACCCGGCTTCCGGCAGATGCGGCCTGCCAACGTCAACTCCATCTCGGCCATGGCTTTCAACGATGGGGTTCAGGTTTTCTTTTAGGGATGCAAGCGATCTACAGGGATCAACCTGAAGCTGGCTAAGAGGCTCAACCCTCCTGAAACCGTGTACTGCCAAAGTGACCCCACTTGATTCAAGGTCTGGCAACGACCTGCGAAAACGGGCCCCCAACATCCACAAGTGACATACTGTGCATTCATGTACATGCGGCATCTTCGCCAGGCAGTATATGGGAGATTGTCAAACACATGAGGCATCATGAGGTATCTTAAAGCAACATGGTATATTGCGAGGACTCCTAGCCACTCCTGGAAATACGATGCTTCGCGCAAATAGAAGCCATACCGTAAGAAACAAAATCATTACACTAGAGATGAAATGCAGCAACTAGGTATGTTCCAACACTCTCTAGTACTCTCCAGACATGCTATGCCCTGCAGGAATGCAGCAACTTTTTCGTCTGCGTTTCCTTGAAGCTGACACACACTGGCTCAACGTGGCTAAGAGCCTCGTGTCCCTTTCCCTTCTAAGACCCCGAGACCCCCATGCTTCCCACGGCAGACTGCGAGCTTCGGTACAGAAGCCTGGCCCAAGGCGCCCGAAATGCCAAAGCAGAGCCGGCGATGAGGGCGGTGTCGGAGGCCTTCCATTACAACCCAAGCACTACACGGCGGCAACAAGTGTGCAGCGCGACAGCAGCAGGAAAAGAACTGCGTCCGGCCGCACTCCAACAGTGAGGGCCCTTGACAAAGCGCCCGCTTGAGAACTACAGATCTTGGCAGCTGAACATGTGCCCAATGCTTACATTCCTGCCCCAAAGCGATGATGTGATGAGAGCTGAAAGTCTTGGGTCACCCCCACAGCTGCAGGCAGGGGCACAATTGCCGGCACCGGGGTGGCCATTTGGTTCCTGAAGAAACACGACGGGTGCTCTCGGCTTCAAGCGTGGCTGGTCCTGCCAGTAGCCCAGGATCCTCCGTGGCAAGCGGAGGGCAAGGTTCGGACTTTCCCGCATAGGGGAAGCACGCCACCTGCTCGTCCTCAAGCCTCTTGGGACTTGGAAGCAAGAACAAAGGCCAGCACGTCCTCCAAAAGTCCGGCAGTTTGGTTAAAACGCAAACCCACGTTGACCCCTAGTTTCAAGACCCAGGCGCAAAGCTAAGGCAACATAGCGGCGGACTCGCAAACCTCAAGATTGCTCCAGAGTGCATCGGGATCCGCCAGGTGCGCTGAAGGCTGTCAGCGGCGACTGGACAAACGAGGCCGGCCATAGGTTCCACAGCAGAGCGACTCGCTTGATGAACATGCGATTGCCTCACCCTAAACCCTAAAAGCTACAACCCTAAACAAGGCATTCCGTGGGACCATCTTCCCAAAGCCGTGCCGACAACTCAAGAGCGGCACAACGCAATGCTCTCTTAAAGCCGCGCTGAAAGCAAGCCGGGAGCCCTGGAGCATGGCCCCCAGAAGTGTGGATTGCAGTCATCTCAAGTCTACAGTATAGAGTTTAGGGTGCAGGGTTAAGGGTTCAGGGTCTACAGTTTAGCTTAGGGTCTACAGTTTAGAGTTTCGGGTGGAGGGTTAAGGGTTTAGGGTGTACTCGAAGATGATATAAGTGAGCTGGGCTTGAGCCTAAAATCCTCGCCCTCTGAGCCTTCCGTAACAACCCTCTCAGGCATAACGGTTTAGGGTTTAGGGTTTAGGAGTTAAGCTCGATGTAGGGGATAAGACGTCGAGCCTAGATCCAGAAGGCCATGCAGACACTCTTGAGTGCGGCCCGGCCCTTTTTTTGTACATTCCTCTCAGGCATAGTTTAGCTGGCCGTAGGCGATAAAACTTCGAGCCGAGCTTAGAACCTTCGGGCAGCTGCTTGCCGGCGCCGGCGCTTCCTGGAGAAAGCTGGCATCGGACTCCCGGCTTTGCAGAAGGGCTCAGGGACAGCAAAAGGGGTCCGGCTTCCAGAAGCGTGCTTGCGGTTCACAGTTGCCTCAGATCTTGCCCTTGCCATGTTGTCGCAATTGAGCGCTCGCTACAGCTCTTGCTGCTTCGTGAACACCTGGCAGGCTTGTTCATGGGCCGGTCTCGCGGTAAGGTTGGCGCTCAATCTCCTTTTTCTGCCACCGCTTGAGATGCCCCCGACGCTCCATGTAGTGTGGTCACTGTCGTCTGGTGCTCACACCACCTGGGGATGTTTGTACATAGTCTGCTGTGTACGGGCTGCTGTTAGTTCTGGGTCCGCTGCGTACCGGCTGATCCTAGGTCTGAAAACTTGAGACAAACACAGGGCGACGGAAGCCTGCCAGCTCCTTTGTACCTGCGCACTACACTCCTGCAGGAGACCAGGTTGCCTTGCTGTTTAGAAGCCCTTTCTGGGCCGCTGGGCTTGTCATGACGTTCAACCTGAAACCGAGGATTTCAGAGGTCTTGCTACGCGCTCGCGATTTCAAACGGCTTCTGGCGGCCACAGCATCGAGACTGCACACAGCCTGCAAGTTCCTGCAACGTCTTGACACGGAAGAAGAAGCCTACCTCGGAGCCGGCACTTTGCCCGTATTAGTCCCGCACGTAGCCATGCGCAGAGTCGGAGAGCGCCCTCGGACCGAGATCAAGGGCAGCTTGCCTGGCACGATGCACGCCTTGCCTGCACTGGGGCAGCAAATGCAAAAGCTGCAAGAGGCAGCGAGGATGGACAAGGTCCATCGAGCGCTGGACTCGCGAGGAGCCTAATGAGCAAGGAAACACGACGTGAGGCGGTTTCGACGCATCTGCAAAAGCGGAGCTTCCATGTTTTTTCAAGGCGCCTTCTCTTCCAGTGGCTTGCACATGGAGGCTCGGTGTTTTTGTTGGTTCACCATTGGCTTACGAGAAACCCACCGGTCGCTGAAGGGAAGCTCGTAGTTGGCACCGCCCTGTTACAGCCGGTCACAGACATGGCATTTCCATGAGCATACGGGCAGCCGCCGTGGCTTTCTCTGCTGAGCTTCAATAACCATACCTCTTACCGCAGAACAGAGACGCCTCATGTTCTGCCTCTCCTGTGTGATCCGGATCGTTCATCATCACCGTCACCACACATGACATTTAACTGGCTTCGGCCACTGCGTGCCTCCATTATTCGAGAGTTACCTTCCGTCCGGACAGTTGCAGCGCTCGGCCCCGAGGCCGATTCGGGAGTCAAGGCAGATCTTTAAGAGTTTAGGGTGGAGGGTTTAGGGTTTAGGTTTAGGGTTTAGGGTTTAGGGTGTAGGGTTTGGGAGGCGCAGCAGGTGACACAGGCTCTCATACAGCAACCAGCGGCCGCGTGTCCAAGTTCCGTCTTGCTGCTGCCTTTTTGGATCCCGCGCGGCGTGGCCGACAACGCGGCAGCGCTGCATTCTGCCGCCAAAAACAAGTCCGAAGCTCACATGGAAGCTCCAGGGTATGCGTAAAACAGCCGTCCTCCGCCCCACACCCCGTGGCACCACAGTGCATGGAAGCAGCAGGAAGTCACCCAGCTCAGGGAAGGACAGGCGGACAAAACACAAGTACAAAGCACAGACGTAGGTGCAAACAGAGAGTTGCCTGAGGTACCCAAGCAGAGGCTGGCAGGTGCGAGAGCACTCGACGTGGCGAGAAGAGGCCGGAGGGCTCAGCTGCTTTCTGTGACGTGATGGAGGCACGAGAGCCCACCATGTTCAAGCTGCCGTCCACGCAGCTCGGACAAGCGCAGCATCCAAGCCGCTGAGATCCCAGTGGTCAGTTCAGTTCGGAGAAAGCTTCACCTGCTGCTTTGCGACTACCGACCTCCGACGATTACATGGTGGAGTCTGAGGTATAAGCCCAAAGCCCCATGTTCAACCGTAAACGTCCCTCAACCGAGGATCTTTGAGGCCTCGCACCACCGACGGCTTCCTGGTGGTGCTGTCCCTGTGGACGTGGACAGCCGTAGGCCCACAGCCGGACCGCCGAGGACATGCTAAGCATCGCTGTGCTGACCAACCATGCGCCGATGGTCGACGTGACGTAGGGGGTTTAGGGTTTAGGGTTTCCGAAATCGGAACATCTCTGTATCGACGGCTTGGAAATTGGAAGATCTTGAGCATTGCAGGTCCCAACCCCACCACCTGGCCTCAGCTAGCTAGCCTGCCGGTTCCGCGATCGCGATGCAGGGGTTCAAAGTCGAAGGACCTACTCCCTCCGGCAAGTAGACAGCGCCGAAGGCCTGCCCGATGGCTACTTCAGTAAGCTTCGAAAAGCGAAAAGACTAAGAGATCTGGGGTCCAAGACCCCCGAGTCTGCCCAAAACCGGACGAGAAGCAAGCAACAGCAGACATCAAAAAAGCGCGGAACTCCCGAGTGGAGCGCTGTAAACAGCCTGTGCGCTCGTCCGCACGCCTATCAGACCTAAAAACTGCACAAGCACCAGCACATGCCGCTGGCAGCCGTGAGCCCATGCCTTTCTAGATAAAGGCACTAGAGCCGAGGGACGCTCAAACTAGCGTACGGCTCGCAGACTTCCCACGCTCAGAGGTTGTGGGACGGGGTCTTGCGATCGTATGTCACTGGTGCTTGTGATGCTTTAACATCTGCATGCTGTATGATGGAGACTGTGCACCCGAGGTATAAGACCAGCGGCTTTCGCAAGAGGAAACTGCAAAAGGGGTGGTTCATACTGGTGTTTGCGGTATCATCACCACAGCAATAGTCATGGAAACGATGACGCTGTCATGACCTGGTGCACGTCCGAGCCATCAATACCAGCGACCGATCTTGCAGTATGCTCACATGGTCGCTGCAAAAACATCCCGCAAGCTAAGCCCACAGAAACCTGATAGGTTTCCTGTAAGCCGTGAAGCCTCTGGGTTGTCGGACTCTCTCCAAACCCGAAACAGCCCCAAACCCTCAGAACATGTTTAAGGTTCAAGGTTTAGGGTTTAGGATCTCAGAACCTTCCCGGCCCCTTCTTATTCTTGTGGCGGACCTTTCTTATTCGCCTTCACTCTCTCAGGAGCCGATGAGAGCACGCCGTGCAATGCTCGCGACTCTGGGCCGGAAGCTTCCGTGCACCACGGCGTCGGGTCTCGAGAAGCCTGGGCATTGGCGCTTAAGATCTGGGGCTTTGTGTGGCTTTACTTTGAAATTAAAATTTAAGGGACTGAGATGAGGTTAGGGATCTTGGGATTCCAATCCGACAGCATGACCTTTAGAGTGCACCGCCGATCTCGCCGAAACTGCAGAGACAGCCTCGCAAGCCCTCTTGGGCCCTGGGTAAAAAACGCAGGCCGCGAGCTCGATGTCGGAGCTCAGCTCAGCTCCAACGGCTTCAGGGGGCTCTGAGTCAACAGAAGACAAAAAAAGGTTTAGGGTTTAGGGTTTAGGGTTTAGGGTTTAGTCAAGGGTTTAGGGTTTAGGGGGCACAACAAAACTCCAAGCCGGTGCAGAAAAGTGCTTGAAAGGCCAAACAGACGAAGGCCCACGAGCGATCAAATTGCAGGCGAAGTCTCGAGCGGCGGCAGTGTCTGGACTTTAACTCACTTTCTGTTTCACAAATGTATCGGCTTTGTCATGGTTAGCCCTGCAACCTCTCACACGAACCGGCTTCGGGGACGTCTTGTCACGGCAGCTCTTCAATTTGTGGTCCTTCACTCAGGGCGGCATCTGAAGGAGTCCCTCGAAAGCCGGGACGCGAAGTAAGCCCGCACCTACCCGTTAAGGCGACCCGACGGTCATCTTCCAAACCTTCGCCGCACACTGAAATCCCGAAAGAGACTCCCGGCCAAAAACGGGGGTCGCGGCGAGGGCCAACAGCGGCTCCGGAACCCAACGCAAAATCTCCACCACTCGCAAACAACTCTGCAGAGCCGTGCTGCGCAGCCTCCCGGATTCCCCACAAGCTGTGGGAGACAATTCGAGTTCTGTGGGCTTGGCTCTACATGTTCTGCTTACCTTGGCTCTACATGTTCTGCTTACCTTGGGCTATCCCGAACACCGAGGGGACTCCGCAGAGGGCCGACAGAAATCAAGAGGGCATACGATGAGGATTAAGGCTTAGGATTTAGGCTTCAAAGGGTGGAGAGTGCTCTTTGAGAGCTCAGAGGCCTCTTGCGATCAGACTTGCAAGCACAAGGAGCTCAGGTGTGGAGGGAAGGAGCTCAGGGTTTAGCTTAAGCGTGCTTTCGCAGTGACGAAGCAAGGCATGGCTGGGCTCAAATCTCGGCCAGGCCAGCGTCGTTCGCTTCTGCGTCTATCGCAGGCGAATGCCGCTTCGGCCAAACCGCTGCCAACCAGCTAATCGGACTAATCTAATCCCTTCATGTGCCTGCATAGCACAGAACCTCCAGAAGGGAACCAAAGCACCCAAAAGGAGCCCCTGGAAAAATGGGGAGAAGCAGCCCAAGCTCGCCTGCTTCGCCCCAGGCTGCTCGAGACTTTCCTTCAAAAGCATGGGTTGGGATCAATTCTGAATTGTGGTTCCTTGTTGGAACTGTGCCAGAGATGGGAAACGACGGCAACATCCACCTCGGCGGCAGAGCAGCACCTTCGACCAATGGATGAGGGCCAGGAGGCACGATTGGGCGGGCGGAAAGCGGTCATGCAAGAACACTCTCCACTGGCCAATCCCAGGCACCGAATTCGACGAAGTCTGCCGAAGTCCAGACCTAGCATGTCCACCTTGAATGGTGGAACCCTCTTCTCGACGGCACCCGTGATCTTAATGAGCTGTGGCAAGGTGTAGCAGGGAAGCCGCTTGATCTTTTGGCTGGGACCGCTGGGGGTACGTAGACGGCTCAACACTAGGCGTGAGACTGAGCAAAAAAGCAAGGTCCGCAGCCAAAACAGATGAAGGCGAAGGAGCGATCAAATTGCAGGTGATGTCTCGAGTAGCAGCGTCCGAGCTCTAAGTCACTTTCTGGTTCACGGATGTGTCGGCTTTGACACGGCTAGCTCTCCTTGCAAGCTCCCACGACCGGCTTCAGCTACCTTTTGTCACGCTTACCTTCAGTTTGTGGCCCCTCGATCAGGGCAGCATCTGAAGGCATCCCTCGCAAGCGGGGGCGTGAAGAAAGCCCGCACCTACCGCACCTACGCCTTAAGGCGGCCCGTCAGTAAGCTTCCAAACCCTCACTTCACACGAGGCTCTCCCGGTAGACTTCCGGCAAGAAAGCTGGTCACGGCAGCGGCACTCGCCATCAGCGGCTGCGGAACCCAACTCGCACCAACAGGTTAAGGCGACCCTGCGGTCACTTTCCAAGCACGAGCAGGTAGACTTCCGGCCCAAAAAAGAAGGTCGCGGCGAAGGATGGCCCGGGCCCACAGCGCCTTAGGAACCCAGAGCTGTGAAAAACCTGTGTGGGCCTGGCTCTACATGGCCTGCTTGGCTTCAGAGATCTGGTACACCGCGGGGACCCAGAAATCAGCACAAGATTTCTGGAGCCCATTGCAGCTACAAGCAACCAAGGCTGATCCCACCAGGCCCACCATCTGCCACCCTTGCATTTGGACTTCGCAGATGCACACAAACGCCGGCAATTACAGGCTTGCCCGGTTCCCTCGCAAGTGTTGTCTAAGCACTCACTTGCTCCGACGGCTCAAACGCCAGATTTAACGGCTAGGGCTTCGGGCTTAGGGCTTCGAGGTTTTAGGGCTTACGATTTACGATTAAGGTTCAGGGTTTCGGTGCATGGGACTGGGAGTCAACAGAAAGCCGAAAAAAGGCGCAAAAGAAGCACCAAAGCGGCACAGAAAAA